CACAGCCAGCACCAGTGGGTCCCCATCGACCGGCAACCTCGCCAACCGGAACTTCTTCAGCGCGTCCTCTCTGTCCACTGGGCTGTCAAACTCCGCCGCCAACCGCTCCGTAACTGTCTCCCACGTGGTCTTTCCGCCAGCACCGTCCAGGCTGTCATACACCGCCTTCGCCCTGCCTCTCAGCAGCGTCCCCGGCACCACCAACTTCGCCTTCGGCTCCTTCACTCCCACCAGCTCCGCCACGGCCTCAAACTCCTTCAGGAAGCTCAGCACATCTCCGTCCTCAAACTCCTTCGGCCATGGGATCTTCATCCTCAGTGGAGGCAGCGACACCAAATGTAGTGAAGAAGAACACAGGTGAGGACAGCCAAATTGTATTTAGGACAAATTACAGAATTACTTGGTAAATTAGAAAAACCATATAGTAAATCGTTAATTTGCAAAATATCATTCTATCATATCAAACCGGGCTGTTGCTGTTGCAAACATCAATCCATTGTCTCGCATTTCATTGCTCATGCGATTTCTTACAAATTCCATTGTTTTCTCGCTCTTCTTTTCTTGATCTTCTCCATCTTCTGCTGCCAGCCATTACGTTCTTTTGACTCACGTTATATACTACTTATATCAATATAAGTAGCACGCACCACAATATTACCATTTGGTCTTGATTTATGTTTTGTCGAAGGATAATGTTAAGGTTAATCATTAAAGTGGAAGGTTTTCAGAAATTACTAACCTATTAGAATTTACATAAATTAAAGCATTTAACAGAAATTAGTCCACCAGTACAGAATTTCTGACCTTGAACTACTACAGTACAAGTTAGAATGTCACAGGTGTTTTTTTCGAAGTTGAATGTTAATTAAATAAATAAAATCTATGGGAGTTTGAACTCTTTATGCCTATGGAAATTACCTTTCTCGCTTTGAAAAACAAACAATTGATTCAGATTATTATCATTACAATCATTGTCATTATTAATACTAATATTATTATTACTACTATTATTGTCATTGTTATTATTGTTATTATTATTATTATTATTATTATTATTATTATTATTATTATTATTATTATTATTATTATTATTATTTTCCACATTATTCACCCTCTTTTATACTTATACAGCGGCTCGTCTTTGGTGGAAATCCGACTATATCTAAACGTTCTCGAGTCACTGTCCGGTTGAAAATTGTATGTTACCACCGAATACGAGGACTGAAGCAGATTTTCTGAAACCACGTGCACCATTCAAACTGGCTGCCTTCAACGTTCGCACATTTATGCAGGTCGGACAACAGATAGGGCTGGCTATGTCTTTGGAAAGTCTTAATATCGACGTGTGTTGTCTATCCGAGACCCGTATTCAAGACTCTGGCGAAGTACTACAAATTCGATCTCCATCTGTCGCTTCGAAAAGCTTGTTTTACGTGCGCTTATCCGGGGACCCTGTGGCATCTTCGTCTGGTCTTGCTGGCGTTGGTGTCGCACTAAGCGCTAGAGCTGAGGCAGCACTAGTCGATTGGATCCCCATTAACAGTCGGTTATGTGCTGTTAGATTAGAAAGTTCCATCAAATTGAGAAGAAATCGGCGTGAGAAACGATGTCTTTTCGTCATCTCCGCCTATGCCCCGACAGATTGCAGCCCGGATGCAATAAAGGATGAGTTTTACCACCAGTTATCTGTTCTTCTCCAGAAAGTGCGTTCGACAGATATTGTAGTACTAGCCGGAGACTTGAATGCTCAGGTCGGGCGTCTAGGCACAGAAGAGAGTCGTTTAGGTGGCCGATGGGGACTTGTTGGCCGCAGGTCAGATAACGGGGACCGTCTACTGCAACTGTGCACAGACCACAACCTGTTTCTGGCTAGCACTAACTTTCGGCACAGTCATCGCTAATGTGCCACCTGGCGTCCTCCCTCTGCATCTCAAGCCTGGACTCAGATTGATCACATCGCGATCAGATACCGCTGGCGTGGTTGTGTACAAGACTGCCGCTCCTTTTGGAGTACCTATCTGGACTCTGACCATGCCTTGGTCTGCGCCAATCTTGCCTTACTTTTCAGTGGACAACGAAGTGAACGCCATCAACGGATTGATGTTAGCAAGCTGGTTGCAACTTCTGTTACAAGTAAGTATCGAACCGAGCTAGCCTCTAGGCTAGCTACCACTCCACCGAAAAGTATAGATGAGCATTGGTTGCAATTGCATGACGCCATGAAAATGGCGGGAACAGTCAGTTGTGGGTTTGCGAAACGTCCCGCTTTTAAGCACTGGGTTTCTGCAGGTTCCTTACAACTCATTGAAGCCCGTCGGTCTACTCCGGGTGACCGTGAGTTTGACCATAAACGAAGGATGTTACGTAAGGAAATCGGGCAAAGCTTGCGTAAGGACCGAGAAGCCTGGTGGTCGACGCGTGCTAATGAGCTGGAAGCAGCAGCTGCATCTGGTAACTACCGGAAGCTCTTCCAGCTCATCCGAGCCACTGGCAGCAAGAAGTCTGGTGTGAGTGAAACAATCTGCAAGGATGATGGGATGCCAATCACTAACATCCATCGACGTCTTGGACAGTGGGCAGAATTTTTCGAAGGGCAGTTCAACTGGTCTGCTGCTCCGGCAACATCGGTCAGACTGTCCTGCCCTCCATGGCCGGTGACGACTGATCCACCAAATGAGGAGGAAGTCCGCAAGGAACTCCAACTCTTGAAGCGTTACAAATCACCTGGCCCAGATGACTTACCTCCGGCTCTTTTTAAAGATGGTGGTGACTTTTTGACTAAGGAATTGACGACGTTGTTTACAAAGGTTTGGGAACTAGAGAGTGTACCAACGTCATGGAATGAGTCGATAGTTGTCCCTATCTTTAAAAGGGGTTCACGTCGTTCCTGCAACAACTATCGGGGGATAAGTCTACTTCCGATTGCATCTAAGCTATTGGCTTCCATCATACTTCGTAGGTTGTTCAAAACCCGAGAAAGATTGACTCGCGAGGAGCAGGCTGGGTTTCGTTCTGGTCGAGGATGTATTGATCATATCTTCACCCTCCGCCAAATGTTAGAACACCGCCATACTTATCAAAAGCCAACAATCGTAGTGTTTCTTGACATCAGGGCTGCCTTCGATTCGTTGGACAGAACTGTTCTCTGGGATTGTCTATTGAAGAGGGGTGTGCCTGAGAAGTTTATTAACATCCTAAAAGCCCTGTATAAAAACACCTCAGGCAGAGTGAGGGCATACAACCACCTCTCTCCATTGTTCCATTCAGGCAGTGGGGTTAGGCACGATCGCCCAATCTCACCATTCCTCTTCAACTTTGCCATCGATGACATTCTGGAAACAGCTCTGACGAATGTAAGTAATGGTGGTGTGGATCTGTTGCCTGGAGAAACACTTCTCGACCTTGAGTATGCGGACGATATTGTCTTACTGTGCGATAATGTCCAAGGCATGCAATCCACACTTAATCAGTTGGCAATCAATGTCCGTAGGTACGGTATGTGCTTTGCACCTTCGAAGTGCAAAGTACTTCTACAAGACTGGCAGGATTCTAATCCTGTACTCACCCTGGATGGTGAGCAGATAGAAGTAGTCGAAAAGTTCGTGTATCTAGGTAGCTGCATAAGTGCTGGTGGGGGTGTGAGTGATGAGATCAATGCACGTATAGTGAAAGCCAGAGCGGCTTATGCCAATCTGGGCCACCTTTGGCGCCTTCGTGATGTCAGTCTGGCCATAAAAGGTCGGATTCACAACGCGTCCGTGTGAGCAGCTCTGCTCTATGCTTGTGAAACCTGGTCTCTCCGAGTTGAGGATGTTAGACGACTCTCTATGTTTGATCATCGTTGTCTCCGAAGGATTGCTGACATTCAGTGGCAACATCATGTTAGTAATGCAGAGGTTCGGCATCGTGTGTTCGGGCGCAGAGACGATAATCCAATTGGTGTCGTCATCTTGAAACACCGACTTCGGTGGCTTGGACATGTTCTCCGAATGTCGTCCCAGAGAATTCCATGTAGTGCATTACTTGCCAACTCTGGGACTGGTTGGAAGAAGCGGAGAGGTGGTCAGTGTATGATATGGTGTTGTGGCATGAAAGAAAGCTACAAAGGGCTGGCTTCTGTTGGTCCTTCAGCACTCTCTAGCTGGGGTCCGAGAGATGGTGCTACACAGTGGCTAGAGACGTTATCAGATATGGCTCAGAATAGAAGCCAGTGGCGATCCTGCTGTAACCTTCTTTTACTTTCTTCATAAAAAGTGGTTGTGTCTCCTTTACCTGAAAGATTTCTTCTGATTGTACCTCTTCGTCATTGCTCTCTTTTTCTTTTGCGTTCCTTAGTTTTTTTTCTTTCTACTTCTCTTCGAATTCCCATTGTTTTGTGTGGCGCATATATATTGGCGCTCTCTTGTACCAATATTTATGTGTTCAAATAAATAAATAAATAAATAAATAAAATCTATGGGAGTTTGGTTGATGTTATTTGGCAGACTGGAAAAAGCAAGAATTTTAAAGATAGTATTCATAAACTATGAGTAAAGCTAAAGGAACGTAATTGTTTAATTTCGTTTACCTAATTAACCGAACTCACTCTTGATCATGTTTAAATACTTTCTTGAGTTTTAGACGGAAGACTTTTGATTGTTCATAATAATGTCAAAACAATATTATTATTATTATTATTATTATTATTATTATTAGTAGTAGTAGTAGTAGTAGTAGTAGTAGTAGTAGCAGTAGTAGTATTAATTCATAAGTTAAAAGGAGTCCCTAACATTGTTGAATGAAAAACAAACTGCGAATATACGAAGGACGAGAAAAAGGATATTATAAACGACTTCAAAAAATAGTAGACTTCTAATGAAATCAGATTCCTTTCAATTAAGTTAATTGGTTAACAGTTTAAAACGTTTATTGCATTATTATAATTAATAATTAATAAAGCAACAATGATAAAAATGAATAATGGTGAATGATATGAGCGGAATTAGATTCAACTAACTAACCTGAGAATTTTGAATTAGACACAGAGGATAAGAGGTGTTAGAGAGATTGGTGGATTGTTTTTGTGATTGTAGATGTTGTGACGATGATGACGGTGATAAGTTGGTTACAGCAAGATGATTAGATGATAAAGAGTATTTTCCAGGTGGATTACATGAATCATGTGAATTCCCCCCGGCCATTGAAACAGATTCCGATGAGTGTACTACAGCAGAGACTAGTAGCGGTTTTGAATTAGCACTATTATCATTATGTGATTCTTTTGTTGCCTAAAAATTGTAATAAACAAAATTTAAAGAGTTCAAATATATATATAATCTTCAGTTAAAATTGATTATAAATATTATAGAGTATTGTTATTGCAGGTTGGTGGAGTGATCATAAACTTACATTGACTGAGGTAGTTGGGATATGAATGAGTTAGGTATGGTCGATCATAACTTACTTCAACGCGCTAGTTATAGCAAATTAATTTGTTCACCATATATCTGCGTATTAGTCACGCTTCATGTATGAGATGATACTATCCGTTTTCCTAAACCGAAGTACGTAAAGCGAGATTTGAACTCCTTAAGAACAGAGACACTACTGCACTGTGTTACGAATAACAAAGAAGTTTTAAATCAAAGATTTAGAATGAATAGTCAAAGTTATAAATGTTGGTGACATACCATAAGATTATTTATCTTATTATACATGTAGGAAAACATTACTAACAGAAGCATTTCTACAAAATAAATAATAAAAGTGAATGTAATTAAGCCTTTTTAATTTAGTCAGACGACATCCAAGTATTTCTTCATGGGGATTGACCTCAATACTTCATACATCAAAATTTTAGCAACCAACTTCTCCTTGAATTACGAGTTGATAGTGTTATTCAAAAGAACAATGAAACTTCAGAGATCACATTTCCAACATCATCTCAAGCTACAAGTATTCTTCGATCATTCACTCATGACGTAGTAGTAGTGTACTGGTTCATTTTATTATTGAACTGAGATATTTTGATCAGTGAGACTTAAAGATTTCGGAACTTATCATAGACAATTATCATACACATATACTTACCACTTCCGAGAAAGATTTACGCTGATTAGAACTGGCGATTTTATTATTTGCATTCTCACTTTTATTTTCCATAGAATTTGTATAAGAATTATCTGGATCAATTCCATCCCGAGGTCGAGCAATCAAAAGATGAACACATGGATGAGGAGATTCATTCAAATCTTTTGCAATAACAGATTTTAGACGATTAAGTGCATCAGTAGTAGATAATCCAGATAAATTTTGATCATCTATAGTTAATAAACGATCACCAACTTGTAAACGTCCATCCTAAAATAAACAAACGATAAATGTCAGTAAATTATTTAAATGCAGAAAAGAGGCGTGCAATAAAAATTTCTTTATTATTCCAAAATATGAAGTCATCCCAATTACTTGGAACATGGGGAAATAAACAATAAAGAATATCTTGAGAGGAAATTTATAGATGTTCACTGTGTGTAAAATCAATTAAAAATGTAAAACGATACCTAACGACTAGTATGCATTTGTGTACAGTGTAATGTACAGAAAGTAGGACATGTAATGCATGTTAACTCGCTTTTTTGGTTAGTTTCAATGGTAGTGAGTTATTTAGGATATAATACTTGGCATAGCGTTTATAATAACTAACAAAATTATAGTGTAAAGGATACAAATCCTTTGAATTGTAATGAACTGAAAATTTCTCAAGATAAGATGATATGTTGACAAGTTGCAATGATTAAATATGCGATAAAACTAACTACTTGTTTCTTTCTTGTATTGATCTGTCAGTAGATAGTGAAAAAATATCATGGTTATGTAGTATCTAGAACCAACCAAATTTTATCTACCAACTTCATAATAGGATTATTGTAGCCGGATAACGCGATATCTCCTTGTACCTAAATTGATATTCGATAGTTAGAGGCTATTTCAATCCGCCGCATGTTACGCAATTTGAGACAGGAACGCATAATCACTTCCAGTGAAACTGAGACTACACTCCTGGTGATTCCTGATACCCCCCCCCCAATAATTAGGAAAATAAAACATGCAGAAGTCTTATTATTTCGCCAGAAAATAATGCAGGACAAAACACATGGGTCCGTGAAGATTATCCGTTTATAGTGCCGAATTCAACTAAATATAGGAGGCTTAAAAATCCAAAATGGAGACTTTAAAGAATTTCTCTACGAGTTAGTTTGAATTGAATTCTCGGAAAATGTTACTTTAAGAGGAAATCTCCAGATTCATGTTGATTGGGACTCATATCAATCATTCCACTCATGGCAAAATTATAGGCTCGAACTCACACTATCCTACGCAATAATCACCGACGTTACCAACCAGTTATACAGATCTTTTATTGTTTATCTTTACTGTTTTAGGTAACACTATCACGACGTTATTATGGAAATGGCATTAGTTACTAATACATTGTTATACACAATCAATCTCAATAGCTGGAGAAAGATGTGTGGATGCATAGTAGGAAAATAATAATAATAATGTTAACAGAAAATTATTTTGTTTGTAATATTAATTTGTAAGAATTCTCATGCATTGTAAACATTCCCATATTATGTAGATTTTAGATTATCTGTTTTATTTCAGTTATGTGAAAATTCTGCATATGGTCAATTAATTGTAAATTATAAGCATGCATATATATATATATATATATATATATATATATATATATATATAGAGAGAGAGAGAGAGAGAGTTAAGAATTTATATTCATCTGAAATGGATTATACACAATTACGTAAACATCAACATTTACACTTCATATACAGAAAACTGGTGTAGTTGATAATAGTTTATTGCCAGGAACTGACTTTAGGTAGATAAACATGATTGTATACTTTAAAAACCTGTCAGAGATCAAAACTAATACCTACAGGCTTTGTGGTGAATGTATTTCTGTTAGACAATTAAGCTTCGATGTAATAATTTAAATACTCAACTTAAGTTGATTTGCAATATTATTTGACAGTTGTTCATTGACAAATGTGATATACTTGTCTCACTTTTGAAATAATGGTTAAACTCCACCACTCAGCTTTCTAGTAGAACACCACAAAATTCGAAATAGTATTATGCAATTGGTTTAAAGATTGACAGTTTAAGAAAGTTTAACATAATTAGTTCCCTAGATAAATTTAGACAGTGTAATAAAACGACGGAGATTATCAGAACTATGTGATATATTAGCGTAATATATGTCTAACAATCTGACCACACTTATACTTGTTAAGAATATTTATATATGAGAAATTAAAAAGGTCGATGAAGTTTAGAGGAAACAAGGTTAATAGAGAAAATAACATGAAACTCACCATGCTGAATCAAAAAACAATATTACCAGGGTAAGTTAAGGAAGAGAACAAACTGTTTTTGAATACATAAAAAGGGTTTGGATTTTCGTATGGCCCAAAATCGAGTCAATTATCCACACATGATGTTAAGATAGTCAGAGACGAAAATTAATAATCAGAATTCATGTTCACTGACTGACTAATTGGTGACCTGAATTTCAGTTATTATATTTTGTGTTGAGTATTTTGTAAATAACCAAGTGTATTATTAACTGAAAACGATATATTTTACTGGTCATTAGTTCAATTTTGTTAATATCCAAGTAATATAAGTTGAGATTACTTATTACCAAGTTTATGGTACTATTACGTTGCATTTAATTTTTCACAAGTCATTCTGATGACAAACTTAAACAGATATTACATAAATGACCAACATCTATGGGGGTCATATATGTTTAAACTGTACAGAAATGCAAACCCATTATAGTAACGAAGAATCGATTTCACCTGAGTGAATATTACTGTTCAACTACGTAAAATGTAATGATACATGGACTGGCTCACTAACTGATTTTAGTACATTGTGACAATAGCTAAAACTTTCAATCTCTGGAGAAAACTGATAGAGTAGCAAAAAATAATCATTAATAGAATGTAGAGAATAATACCATAAATAGTAATGGAAAGATTTTAACATTTTTTGTTGTACATCATACGTAAAAATTATATTATAAATAATCTCAGTTATTGAAATTTAGATAAATCCAACATTGTGTCCAGGAATCTTCTATACAGTTTTTCGGTGAATAATTTCCGTCAAACTATTCGTTGGTCAGACATAATCAGTAGTGGCCTACTGTTGCAGAGGACAAACCAGCTTCCAGTTAAGGAGGAAATTAGGACAAGATGATGGAGGTGGATAGGTTACACTTTACGGAAATCATCAAACCGCATTTCGAAGCAAGCCCTAACTTGGAATTCTCAAGACAAAAAGAAAAGAGAAAGACCAAAGAACATATTGCGCCGGGATTTGGAGGCAGACATTAAGGAGCGAATAGCACTAGGCAGCAAGTGGAAAGCATAACGCAGGACAGAGTTGGCTGGTGATTCTTGGTCGGCGGCCCATGAAGGGTAACAAGAATAAATAATAATTCATTCAAATATTGAAGAATATTCATATAAGTTTTTCATTGTAGTCCATTAATTAATTTTTAACTATAAGTAATACAACCTAGTACTCATATACGTATTCATGTACTTAGCTGTGTAAATATTAGAAAAAGTACGAGGTTCTGCAAACCTAACCTAGAGGGAATAAAAATTGAATAAGCAACATGATTATTGATACTTGAGTGCTGCCACTATTAGTTATATCATGCATTAAAGTAAGAATTTTAATAAATTTCCCAAAGATCAACAAGAAATAATGAGTTAAACCATGATGGTAAATCAGTTGATGAGGTTATGAATCTTCATCGACTGAGATGGTTGGGCCACGTATTACGTATGCCTGAACACCGATTACCACGACGTGCAATGCTAACCGGTGTAGGGGATGGCTGGAAGAAAGTTAGGGGCGGCCAAACCAAAACGTGGCATCAGTGCTTGAAGTCACTAACTTCTAGTCTGAGCCATGTTGGTAGATGCAGACTACTTGGTTGGGGTCCGCGTGACTATCGTAACCAATGGTTGGAGACTCTTGGCGACATGGCTCAGAATCGATCACAATGGCGTCGGTGTATACACTCTTTGTCTTCCCTTAAACTAAGAGATTAAAACCACTTCATATCTTTCTTTCTACGAACTAATTCTTTCTTCCTATACTATATCCTTATTGCAACCTTTGACCTAACCACTCCTATGAATCCGGTGTCCATCTTGTTGTGTTAATGAGGTATGGCAACCTGGACCGATGCACATATGTGCCTGGTCCTACGTTGTAGCTGACTGACTGAGTTAAACCATTCCCATCATATAACATGATATGGTGACCCAGATCCTAACTGATTTGAGTGCGATTGATATACAATATTGATTTCTTTTTCAAATCTTCCGTGACATATAGACACATTTTAAGGGGTAATCACTTACATTAGTTACATCAGTAGGTTATAGGTAGTTAATTCTATGATACTATATATCTAGATTTATTCAGTAAATTATTAATTAATGTCAAGAACTACTTAGTTTTCTACATACAAATATGACTATTAATCAGTGTAAACTTTTTGGAAATTAGAGTATTTAGGTGTTTATTTAGACTTATCTTAGGCGTCAAATAAATCCTTATCTATTCACAATTGATTGATCACTAGGTGGTGATCAATATCATGTGTGTCAAGTCCTAGTCTGTAGTCTTCATGTTCTTACAAACATCGTTTGATTCACGGCTCTCGGTACCAGGTACTAAGTTAGTTAAGTATTCAGCAGATGCAACATAATATGCGTTCGATCACAAAATATGGCACTGAATATAGTGGCTGAAATCAGTGTGTATTTATATATTAAGTGTTAAGTCATATGAATAGTGATAATTCAAGTAAACAACTATGTAATCAAGAATCACAATTAAGAGGAAAAACTAATTGAATGTGTAGACAATAATGAATAGATACAATAGAAAAAGAATTATATAATAGTTCAAACAACAGTTTATAACAATTATTTTTTTATTGTACAGGTTTACAACCTTTTTCCTTTTGAATACAAAAGTCAGTTCAGAAACACCTCGTATCAATGCCTAATGAAAAGCGGAGTAAAAGCGATATTTGTAGTTTATCAATAATTTTGAATGGTTTATGCTTTAACCTTTTCCTAATGTCGATTATTCATTAAGTGACCAGTCGTTTCACTTAGAAGAAACAATGTTTTCCTTAAGGCAACATTTCGAGTAATATGCTTAGAAACCTTACAGAAGGCTATCTCAAGATTGCGGGGTACACCTTTTTGATGAGTGCCAAATAGCACGAAACTTGTCGACTACCACCAACCAACACCATATATCTATCTCAACATAGTACATACGATGTCGAGCCACCTAGACTAGTGGTCGCATAGCAATTTAACAGGTAGAATTGGATTTGCACTAAGAATAACTTGACATTGGTCACTACTCAGTAATCAATCAATTATAAAACCATTTCTTAGTCCTTCATAAATACATCCTACCTCAAGAACATAATATCCATAAATTCAACTGAAAGCGATAAGTGCAGGTCGTTAAACTACATTTCATTCATAACTATTTAAGAAGCAGTGGAATTCAATTCATTTTATAAATCTTGTAGTTCTTTATTTGTTCACAATATTTTTTTTCTTTAACCAAGCTAATTTTATGAAATATCACTTATAGTATTAAAGAATGTGTTATATCAATTAGCTGAGAGATTTAAGCATGATCAATACATATACATATCCAAATGCGTGTTTACATTAAATACCCTTGAATTGAAAAATGGTAATTTCTTATTTTATCAAGATGAAATTATAGCATACAGTATTGTTTTTTAAAAGAAAAAAGAATAATCACAAATGAATAGATAATCAGTAGGATTGTAACTGTCAAAATTTTACCAAAAAAAAACACAACATAATCTCCTAACCAAAACTTTGCGTCTAACTGAAAATTACAAAGAGAAACAACAACAGAAAAATAGATTTTGGAAAAAGTAATAATAAAACAAAACAATAAATAATTTAAAAAAAAAGAAAATAAATAAATAATAAACAAGTCATAACAACACTTACTTGATAAGCAGGACCACCATCAATTACAGTTCTTACAAAGACAGCATTCCATTGTGAATCATTAGTTTTATCAATTTGTACACTTGAATGTTTTTCATTAACAGTAACAGTGGTATTAGCAGTAGCAGTAGCAGAACTACTGAGTCCACCACCAAGGGCATCATTGCTATTAACAAACAAATTATTTGACAAGCGTCTTACTGATACACTTACACCTAAGGTGACAGGATTACCTGTATATCGTTTAACTGTTGATTGATGTACAGTAGAATCTGTATATTGTCGTATTGTTGTAATTTTATCGGATTCATTGACTTTTGTCAAAGGTAAATGTATATTCAATAAATAAATTGACCAGTGAGATGAATCGATTTCATGAAGTTTATATGAAGGATGTGAAGGTGGAAGGGGATGGAATTTTTGAGAGATGTCGGATGAACAACAATTCCATTCGGATAGCTTAAAATAGAGGATATGCAAAAATAAAAACAAATGTATAAGTTAAGATTTAAGAGAAAATAAATTACAATTTTAAAAACTATTTTATGTTGAAAAAAGTCAGTAGGAAGTTTTGATGTTTTAGGAAAAGTAGAAATATTTTTGATATTACCATCTACAAATTTTTTACCTAAAGATAAGCGTTTTACTTATTCAATGAGTTTTTTATGGATACCAATGAACTTGGTACATCGACACACTACTAGTTCGAACGAATCAGTAGTACTTATGGTTACATCATTATAATAGTTTTTTCCAATTAATAGGTAGGCTTCATATATAACAAACATTTCATCTTGACGAAGATATAGAAAAGGAACTGGAGACATAAAGTGGTTGCGTATTGATTAGTTCAAATGAGATAAACAGAAGGATAAAACAACAAGAGGGAGACATACATTTTTTAAAAAGTACTAAGTACCTACAATTGAAAAGCGTAAGAAACAAAGGTAGTTAAGACACAGATTTTGTAGGTTGATGAGCTGCCTTTATTTGATCAATGTAAGGTTCAACCTAACAAGTGTCTGTTTGATCCAGTGTTTGGTAAACAATTCATTTATTATTAACCAACAGCTAGCATCAAACAATTCATTGTTATCTGTTTGATTATTTTACAAAAACAATAGAAATCATATATATGTTAAATGTATATATTTTCCGAACAGTTCACAGCGGTAGAATGGGACAAGGAGAAATATTGTGTAGTATACTCATTTTCAACTATACATTAGAACACTTTATATGCACTGGAGGTATCACAAATAGATAGATAAACATAAGCACGGCGATTTGCGGGAAGATAAATAATGAATGAATCTGCGTCACTGCAGCCAATTTTTAGACACGTTATTTTATGTTACATTTAAACTATAAAATATAAATTTCTTGTTGATTATAGGTAGGATGTCTGGATTTTAATACATAGCTAAAATCAACATCACAAGTTGATGAGAACCATAAGAATCTTTGTATCGGAAATCGGGGTCAAGTCAGGCATCAACTTATCAACTTTTGTATGGCTAAGTACGACTCTTTCTCATCCAAAGTATCATATGTGACCCTCTTCTCAAAAATTGTTTCAGGACAGTTATATCTTTTTAAATTTTAGGGGAGCGAAAAAGGTTAAGCCTATAGAGAGCTAAGTAAGTGACGAAAGCACTTCTAAGTTTGAGCAGAAAAAGAATATCAATATTATGCGCGATTACAGGACTAAACAATATTGACAATCAATCGTTTTGAATTTGTTCTTGTAGTACAAACAAAGAGGGTGTTAATAGTCAGTAAACTCCGGTTGATGTATAAAAAAGTTGGTCTGTAAGGGCATTGGGCTCTAACCACACAACCCTCAAAGCTGAAAACGAGAGAACTGGGAAAATAGATATTCAACATTTTATGCGGAGAAAAACACAACTATGGAGAAGGCAGAAAGGATTAATTGAATCCAATCAGATGGCATGGCTCAGCCTTGCAGGCGTGGTCATTTTTGTGTGTTGTCTTATCATTTTTATTCATATTAAATATATTTTTCCATCTCCAGCCTAAATGTATTATTCACCATATATTGATGATGATTACGATAGGACGAGTCAGTGTAGACAATGATGTGACTTCCACATGAGATCTTATAGATTAGGCACTCACATTATGACAAATGTACAATTTTAGGATTAGGAACAGTACTGATAATGAAATCTATGTGGAGATTATTTAAGAGTTAAACAAAGCGGGATTATTATAATTAAGAATCGTTTCGTGTAGAGATATTTTACTAGGTCACAGTAAGATGCGTAGTAATAGTCAGACATCAACTCATCAATTCTATAAAGGCTACCCAAATAACTGAATAGTTCAACAATCTTAACTGCTTTACTCTAATAACAAACTGGGCATTGAAATATACAAACCTTAAAGCGACATTGCTCAGGTAAAAAAGAGGTCCTTGATAAATGAATTAAATTATTTAAAAGAATGTATTTTATGTAAGCTTTTCCATGAGTCATAAACCCAGTAAATATTCATTTTGCATCAGAAACATTAACAAAACCAACCATTAACTTAGAGCCGCATGATGGTGCAGAGCGCAACGGGGTTATTTTTGCGTTAATTATGTATAAAAATGACTTGATATTAACCCCGAAAACTTGAAATCAGGTATAATATCTTAGTACAAGAGGCTTATTTATAAGTTCATAATTTATGTATTCATTTACAAAATAACAAACATTTATACTTTCTTATCCTACAAGCTGACGCAAATATCTCTGTCAACAAAATAAAATCATAAAAACAAATGAAATAATCAAAACTTAGTTAGACTATAATCAACCTAATCTAAGGAAAGAAGTAATCCATTTGAAAAGTTTGATTTATCTCTTAGCGGATCAGAATGCAAGTAGTGGTAATAGTAATGGTAGTCGTAGTAATAGTAATAGTGGTTTGTAAACTATTGTTGGTTATTCTGTACACACACACACACACACACGAAAATTACAATTAAGGGAATTGCGAGATTTTCATTATTGTTTAGATTTGGGAATTACAATTATGGTTCAGTCTAAAATAAGTTTTAAAGGCTAGTAAACATGAGCTAAGAAAACATCGAAATTATTTTTCGTCTTATTTCGTTCTTCGTATTAGAGAAAGAAGGCTATGTTTGAACACTGGATAGATTTTTCAATCTTCAGATCTAGCAGTTTGGACTAAAGAGTCAAAATTCACTGGTTCACATTTCCGATTTCAGTAAGTTTGTGGATAGAGAATGACGATAATTAAATGTCATCTATGACATCTGTATCGCTTTTAATATTAGTTAAACTCCATAAATCACGGCTATTCTTTTGACATTACAAATCCATCTTGAAGCTAATGATTACTATAATTACTGCAAATATTGCTATATTGATTGGTCAGTCAGTCAGTAACAACGTGAAACTTCGTACGCAAGTATATTAGTTCGAGTTGCTATACCACATTAGCACAGAGATGCAGTTGTCGATTCAATCCTGTAGTGTTAGAGGTAGTAAGAGTACAAGCAGTAATCGGACAGATTAAGGTTTGAAGATGTTATCCAAGGACTATAATCCAGTGAAATAGATTTGGAAGGAGAAAAAAGGGACATGAAGAATTCAGAAGATTAGAATTTGGGAGAACATAAAGAATGGATGCACCTGCGCTATTGCAAGCGATTTTGAGCCATGTCATTCAGGGTCTCTAACCATCGGTTGCTATCATCTCGTGGTCCCCAACCAGGTAGTCTACACCTACCAACATGGCTCAGTCCATTTGTCAGTGACTTCATGGACTTGTGCCATGTTCTGGTCTGGCCGCCCCTAGCTTTCTTCTAATCTACTCCTATACAGCAAAACATCGCACATCGAGGCAGTCGGTGATGAAGTTTTCTAACAACTGCGTTACTTACTCGATGGTCCCATGATATACGATCAATATTTCGAAGACACCTATGGTCAAATACTAGTGACCTACGATTATCCTCTACTCTTACCGGCTACGTTTCACTGCCATAAAGTAGGACGGGACGAACTACCGCACAGTAAACCCGTCATTTGGTCGATAGACGGATATCTTGCCTACGCCATAAATGATTCGAGTTGGCAAAAGCTAGTCGAGCCTTCTGTATCCGTGATGAGATTTCGTCACACACCAGACTACAAGGGCTGATGAGACTTCCAATATAAGTGAAGCGGTCGACACGCTCAACTACTTCACTCTCTATCATTAGTTCACGTGTCGATGCATTCCAATCCTGAAGCAATATTTTGCATTTCGAGGGGAAGAATCGCATGCCGAACATGCTTGCATTGTTGGTTAGAGTGATCAGAAGACTCCGTATTTTGTCAGCGTCTTCACTAAATAGAACAGATAATAGCGACTATCTTCTATCGAACCCCTCCATCGGTGGCTGATAGCGATGTCATCTATTGAGTTACACAAGTGCATGAAGTCACTAACAAGTGGACTGAGTGAGCCATGTTAGTAGGTGTAGACTACCTGGTTGGGGACCACGAGATGATAGCAACCGATGGTTAGAGACCCTGAATGACATGGCTCAAAATCGCTTGCAATAGCGCAGGTGCATCCATTCTTTATGTTCTCCCAAATTCTAATCTTCTGAATTCTTCATGTCCCTTTTTTCTCCTTCCAAATCTATTTCACTGGATTATAGTCCTTGGATAACATCTTCAAACCTTAATCTGTCCGATTACTGCTTGTACTCTTACTACCTCTAACACTACAGGATTGAATCGACAACTGCATCTCTGTGCTAATGTGGTATAGCAACTCGAACTAATATACTTGCGTACGAAGTTTCACGTTGGTACTGACTGACTGATTATCTGTTCTTTGAGCCACGACACCATAAGATCCACCCAGGTGTCTTTCCCTATCGCTTAGTTTACCTACTTGAGCATTAAAGTCACCGGCCATTATTACTACATCTGAGCGCCTAGCTTTAAGGAGGAGGTCGGAGAGCTTTCTGTAAAACTCATCTTTTACATCATCTGCGATGCAGTCAGTGGGAGAATAGGCAGAGACGACGAAGAGGTAACGACGAGTGTCCCTATCTTTCCGAGTCCTTACTGTCCTGTTTAGTCGGACAGTGCAAAAACAACTGTCTACTGGGATCCACTCTAAGAGAGCTAGTTCTGCCCTAGGACTCAATGCTATACCTACGCCGGCGAGGCCACGGGAAGCAGAATCAGGGCTTCCAGATACACGAAGCGTAAATCGAGTGGGTTCTTTATTTCGGCATGGTGAGGTCAAATAGATAACGCTACTCGGATCCTGTATGCGCGTTTCGGAGACGCAGCACACATCGATGGCGCGGGATCCTTAAGTCTTAGCTAAGGAAGCCTGCTGTCCTATTTGGCACAGTGTTCGGACGTTAAAAGCTCCTACGTGTAGTTTAGAGCGTGGTTTCAGGAGACCAGGAATAACGTTCCGCGTACTCGAAACATTTGCCCTAGCGGTGCGAGGTGATAAAGAGACGTGAGGAGGGTTAGTCATGGAGATAAGAGAGGTATTAGGTGTAGGAAGGATTGTATGTGACCAATTTGGTCTCGTGTGCCGTTACGGGTATGAGGGCTGGTGTCACTTCCCGGCTGCCCACACAGTGGAAGGGTATTTCTTGAGGAACCTGAAAAGGAAGTTGGATTAATGCTGGTCTTAACGACCTGGGAGCGTAACCGAAGGGTGTACAATCAATATATAGATGAGTGTATTTTCTAATAGAATCGTAGTCGTCGTATTTGTGTTCTTACTTTCGCGTCGTGGGAATTGAAGACGTCCCTCGTTCCGAGTATAAGTGATAAGCGTTTCCGACATAACAATCAACGACGACCAGATACAAAAAGTAGCGTTAAAAGAGCCAAGACAATAAGCATTCAAACGACAAATTATAACATAAGTATCACTCTACTTATTATTATTTTATTTAAACATATAAACCTTGGTATAAGGAGGCACCAAATATATATATGTATCACACTTCGTCATTCGATTTGTGTGAGGGCTGGAATACTGCACGGGCGTCAAACCGAAGCAGGATCACTCTACTACTATTATTAAGATAAATTTCCAAGTCAACGAAGTAGTTCAATAAATCATCGATGAAAAAAGAAAAATAAGCTAAACTTCATTGAGGATAGTCAATAAGAAAAAAAAATGATAATGCGATATTTTGCAGAACAAAACACTAACTATCAAGTAATAGATAAAAAATATAATATGTACTATTGAATGCAGAGCCTAGTGCATGAGAGTGAAAGTATTAAAAAAACTGTTATGTCTTAACATACAAAACATACACAAAAATGAAAATCGATTAGAATAAACAGTAAATGGTAATAGAAAATACATGATTAAAAAAATAAAAATATTGAAATGAACAATTGTCTCAGAACATAATATCTAGTCTTCTTAGACCAGTAGATTTGTTGTATTGTTGATACCCTATATTAATATTTACAAGATTGAAATAAAAATTCTAGCAGAATAGCATGGATTCATTTTTTTTCGTAGGTTCTCGTCAGCCGCTTACAACCTGTGATATTTAAAATTATAATTACATAGTGGGTTTAAATTACTTACATGAAAGAGTTTGGTCGGAAGTTATTTTGTTATATTAAAGACATATTCGTATAGTATAGCAATACTACAGCTAGAATCTTTGTTCTTGCTCTTTTCAAAATCATAAAGGGAACTATGTGTATAAAAGATTGAAATAAACAGTTAATTACATTTTAATGTTTCTTTTGCAATTTACTTCTTTAATCAGAATCGTAGTTTGTAGGTTAGACGCAGGATAACAGGGAATGATAGTAAATCAGTTGATGAGATTGTGAATCTGCATCGACTGGTTAAGCCACGTATTACTCATACTCAACCACCGAATACTACGGCGCGCCATGTTGACTAGTGTTGGAGATGGACGGAAGAAAGTTAGGGGTGGTCAAACCAAAACCTGGCATCAATCCCTAAAGTCACTAACTTCTGGTCTGAGCCATGTTGTTAAATCCAGACTACTTAATTTAAAAGTTGTTATTGTGGTTATCCTTACCAGCTAGAGGCTATCAATAATTAACCAACAAAAAACAGTGTAACTTGAGGTATTTCTAGGAGACTTATGGGAAAAAGGTCAAAATCAATAACTTACAATCAATAGTAATGAATAACAGAGAGAAATGTATGGATGCAATTTTTATCCCCCCCCTACATTCTGTTTTTATGAACTTGTTTTATTAAGCGTTTTACTTTCAACTTTTGACCTTTCACAGTATGAACAATGGTACTATTCCGTTAGAATTTTAAGTAGTTGATTAGTCTTTCACGTACGTATTATACAATTATAACAGATCTGATGTAGTTTAACGAATATTTTAGCAAAAAAAATTTAAGACTATCATCTAGAAATCAGGTTGATTTGGTACAATATTATTCACTAATGAAAAAAATACAATTATCAATGCTAACCTTATCAGGTATTTTTATATCATGACTAGATGGTTGTTCCACAATCACTCTTTCATTATGTTGTTGTGTTATTGGTTGTGATGTTGATGATAATGAGGATATTGAAGATAATATTGATTTTGTTGGTTGTTCATTTACAGTATTTATACAACAACTTGATGCTATTGTACAGATAACAGATGGTTGCATAGTTTTCAAATCAGGTAGACATGCTTGATCAAGATTATGGTTATTATTATTATTATTATTATTATTATTATTATTATTATTATTATTATTATTATTATTATTATTGATATCTGCATTATGGCAATTATTTCTTGATCGTTTGACAACTAAAGTAACAAAAGTATTTACAGGTTTACTTCGTAATAATGCAACAGTTTGTGCTTGACCAATTTCATTCACATCAATATTATCAACCTACATATATATATGCATAAAAAATAGATAATAGAAAACAATTTTCTCTATTGACTTCCGAAATTTACACACAGAAAATAATACAAAGATTAGAAAATTGCATTTGCATACAGACAGTAGAACTATTATTTTCTAGAATATTATATTGTTTTTAAGTAGAGTTGAGTAGTGGTTAAGACTGGAATTCAAACAGCATATTTTATTTTATTTCAGATGTACGTGAATCCCAGTGTTGATGTTCACAGTAAAACTCGAACCCAGTACCTTTTGTCCCAAACGCTTGAAATTTTATCCAACGAGCTACTGAGTCCAAATAGCCACTCACTTGTGTAACAAGGAAGAATCTTAATTTAATTTGTAGGGATTTTTTTTAAAATCTTCCCCTTGATGTTAAGGACCGGAGTTGATCAGTCTTTTCCTGTATATGTGCATTTTGAGTGGGCTGTCTTGATACTGCCATTTACTTACGAATGAATTGAAATTCATCCCTGTTGCACAAGTCAGCAGTCATATAGACTCCGTAGCTAAGTGAATAACCATACAATTTATTAGGTCAGTTTTTTAATAGCATTAAATAACTGCTGACTAGTACTAAAAGACATTTAACTCATTTACATACCATTTTACTTAGTGTTTCTAGTCAGTGTATAGAAATCTGACAAATTTGTTTTAAAGTTTCTTATCGAGGTCGGAGAGAGCTGAAATAGGTTTCTCGGCATAAATTAATTCGGATAAGTCTGTGGAGAACTGCTAGCTTTTAAAATATTTCTTGTTGAAAATCTTTAAATATATTCACCGCTATTCTTCTACCATAGATAGAATACTTCGCTAGGCTAAACAAATTTTCAATGAAACCTGCTTCGTTTTGAACTTGTGTAACCTAAAGCCATGAAGCTAAAGATTCTTGATAACGGCTTGATTTATGTTGTATCGCTAGAACTTCTATTTTATTATTGTAATTCTGTGGCAACATTATGTATGGTGAGAGCTAACAAGGTCTGCTTCACCAAGATAGGTTGGAACTTTCAAAAGCTACGAAATCTTTCTTAATTAAACACTATCAAAATTTTTGATTTAAGGTTAATTAGAATAAAATTAGATAGGTTTTTTTCCTTTAGTGGGAGAAAGAACATTTATTTACCTTCATTAGAAGATCACCAGGTTTTAATTGGCCATCGATTAGAGCTGCTCCACCTGGTAGTATATTTTTCACACAGATAACTTTTTGACCAGATGATGTCAATGAATCACGACTAGTTAAACTAAATCCCAATCCATTAGAACCTGAAAAAACAATCAATAAAAAGAAACAAGAAACAGTTAAAACTAGGTACAGAAAACTGATATTTTCGAAAGACATTAACATTAGATAATAATACTGATGGTTATTTAGTTAAAACCACCGGAGGGCTTGGGACGAACATGTTTTGGACTAAGTTGTCACATCATATTAGCACAACGAAATCAAGCTAACGAAATGATTAGTGCGGGTCAATCAGTCATACGCAAAGTAAAACCTGACACACGTGCATCAGTTCAAGTTCCCACACTACATTAGCACAGAAAGGTAAGATTATTAAAAAACATACCAAAATAGTAGAATTAATAGTAGTTGAATCAGTAGTACAAAAGATTATATATAGAGATGAGAAAAACTATAAGAAAATTTCGAGACTCAAGATTCAAGAGAAGACAGAAAGTGAATGTATCTACGTTGCTGTGAATGTTTATGAGCCATTATTAAACATCTCTAACCATAGGTTACGATAATCACGCGGATTTCAACCAGAAAGTCAGGGTCTATCTGCGTAACATATGTCAAAATTACTTCGTTAGATGAGGATTCAATCGACTCGCTATCGTCATCTAGTACTGTATGTCGAACTTTAACAATAACAATGAGAATAATTGATATCACTGAGTATGTAAACTTTAAGCAGTTTTTTTATAGATCAAAAGTGTAAGTAATTAGTATAAGCTCTTTTGATAACAATGAAAGCAAAAAAGGTGCATGAAAGATAAGTAATAGTAAAGCTATTAAGATATCTCAAGAAAATTGGATTGAAATAAAGAGATGGCAGTTATTTAGAATATTTCAAAGAAAGAAGGATAAGTGGAGTCCAGTATCAATTCAGACAATTGAAACGATGAGTCTTTCTGGGTCTTTTTAAGTTCAGCTAGTCACATGAGACCTTCTACCTGGATCACTGCAGCATATTAGTCTGACAGCAGAAATACTATTAGTTCACTAAATTCCAGAAGATTCGAAGCAAGACAGAGTAGTAAGTTCCGATGAATTAAGCATAGATGTTTTTAAAGACTGACCCACAACTAAGTAGTTTAACAGTAAATATTATCTGCCTTTAAACTCTGAGAATAGACATCATTGCTGATAGATCAAGTTCACAAAAAATAATAGTAAATTAATGTCATAATGAAAAAAGGAGAGATTTTTATTTGACTAACACAATGTCATTCAGATATGATCAAAAATAGATTGTCCGACTGCGTATTTCATAATTTTTTTTCGTAATCTATTATTAAAGATGAAGTTTTAAAAGAAATATTATGGAAAGTGGTCATCGGTGTACAAGATCCTGATTTACAATTTAGAGCATGTTAATGAAGTCATATGAGCTGAAAATGGTCGGTTTCATGTCGATTAATTTTCGAAGACTTACAAAAGGCACCTCTGTAATGATGATATTACTAATACTAATAGTACTATGGGAATTAAATAACAATTGTGTTCATCCACAGATTTGTCGCTTTTTGTATCTTTTCTGTGAATTTGATAAAATTCTGTTAACTGAACTGAATAAAGTATTAGTAAATGTACTTATTAATGCTGTACGAATATTTCTCATCAATATTTTGAACGAAATTCAGGAAAAAAAGAGTATTTACACACACAAGTGTACACAATAGTTAAGCACTGTGTAACAGAGTTGCATTTATCGTTTATCTCCACCCAAGAATTAGAGTTCCAATTGTCCTTCGTATATACCTTTCTATTTAACCATATACTTAAATATTTAGACTTTTTTTAACTATCATTGATAGTACTACTACTACTACTATTATCTTAACTTTATTTGCTATTCATCTTATTAGTTCCATCCCATTGTACTAATATGGTGTATATATCAACCTGGAATTGCATGCATTATTATTGAATAACTCTATGTCAACTATATGACTAACTGACTATACATACAATATTGAAATAATTGTATTATTATACAAGAAAATTCATTTTACCTTTGCATAAATGAATTGTATGATAAGTAAATGCGTGCAAATCATCACTATTATTAACAATATTTGTTTGTGAGTTGACAACAGATTTTGTTAACTCTTGTGATGATGGTAATTGATTATTATTATTTTCTTGTTGTTTTTTCTCTTTTAAAAATTCGTCAATTAATGGTTTAATAATTCCTTCTGGAATACGAGTTAATACAGTGTTGGGAGAACGACGAGGTGGTGGTGGTGGTATAGGTTTTAACTGATTTGAATTAGATTTAATTTCAACTTCTTTAGCTTTAGATAATGGATCGGATACGATAACAATTAGACCACATGAAGGTTTCTCTGATTTCTCTGTAGTTGTCCTGTTTATTTTATCAATGTTTTGTATAGATAGTGAAGAACTGTATTGGTAGGCTGAATGAGGAAGTACACGAAGTATTATTTCTGGTTCATTTAATGCCTCTTGAAATATATCACGACCCCTTGACAGAAAAGAAAAGGTATTATAAAAATATTTTGCAAGAAAAAACTAATATGACTATTAAAATAGAACCGATTCGTGGACATGATCTATATGATGTTGCTTAGATTTATTAGGTGGACTGACAGAATGGAATTTTATTGATAATTTTCACCATAAACTGGCATAAGATTGAGAAGCATTGAAAATGAACAATACTAAAGAAAACAATACTGGGATGTAACTCATTTATTAAGAAAAGATTCGTGTATTCGGGTTTGAGCCATGTTTTATGTGTGAAGACTAGTGAAGGTTAAACACTCCACTAGACAGACTTCTTAACAGTATGAACTTCTACGAACCCAACCAGGATTTATGTGTACTACATGGTGAGCACGACACTTTTAGAGTACTTAGTCGAAGTTCAAATAGTTTAAATCTACACACTCAGTACATTCATCTTACAATGCAAAAATCATCTAAGTTCGTAAGTAACTACTGTTTTATTCCCGTGGTGTTAAAACCACCAGTTTTACTTATCGCCAAAACTTTGAGCGAAGCTACCGCAAAGCTAGTTAAAAATGGACCCTCAACGATGAATAAGATAGAGGGGTTAGATATTCCAATTAGTAGTTAGCTTTTAATATTGTATCAGCTATTCATGAAGAGAATAGATGGAATATAATTAAAATAACGTTATTTAGTGGTTCCTAGTACCGATTTTACAATTTGTCCTTAAAAATAACAAATAGGCCATCTAGATATTCACTAAATTAGCCTCTATTTATTCATGTTTAAAAAAAGATTAATCTTCATTTCAAATCTAAATTAACTCGTTCGCCAGGTACTTGGGTATGTTCAACACTACGTGTGAGGGCTAATGATACTACAAAGTTGACCTAACCGAAGTGGTTGGAGATGGATTTGAACCTGAGACTAAGTGGCTGAAATTCAAAAGCCTTAACCACCAAGCCATTGCTCCAACCTCAAAAACAGATAGTTCAATACATAGTAGCGATGTTCCTTAACAATAGAAAAAGGTTGTCCATCATCATTTTGCTACATGTGATTAATGAATAACAATCTATATTTAAAAGTTTGTTGTGAATTACAAAACGAGTGGGTTTGGTTAGGATACTGGAAAGCTTTCCCGCGGATGTACAGTGTAGCATGGCTAATAGGTTTCTGATTCATGAAGTATTTTTGGTTTATATCAAAGCCATAAACAAAAGGTGTACAGCCCTGGTGGTACTATCAGCATTTTATTGAATATTAGAGCCAAAACTACACTATTAACGTGCATTCGCAAAGACGTTATCTCTTGTAGTATTAGACTAGGTAGTAGTATAGACTCTCTAGCATAAGAAACAAGGTTAGTAGCAGCCCGAATAGTTCAGTAGTGGTTTCGCAAACTGTGAAGTTGAATGCCTCCGTTTCGATTCCACGAAGTAGTACTAGTCTCCTCAAGATTGCAGGTAAGCCTTATTTACCAATGCCACCGATCAAGAGACGTAGGTCCATGATTCCCTCCAAACAACCAAATAGCAAAAGGGAAACAAAAGATTGCTTACATTATGCCAAAAGGTTAACGGCACTATTTGTGTCCCAGGTTGGCACAAATTTGCTAAAAGATGAAAATATACAGATTAAGGTCTACTGATCTAAATGTAAAAAACTCACTAGGGTGCAAAGTTTCATGTTTAATTAAAACAGATGCACTACTGTTTTACTTCAGTAGAAAATAAACATCAATAATGGTTTATAAAATATAACTAACTTTTCAAATGGTATACCGCTTAATGAAATTCCATTAATACTTAAAATCCGATCTCCAACAGATAAACATTGCTCACGTGCTACACGCCCATTCGGTAAAATACAATGAACTTCAAGACCACATTCACTTAATAGAAAATAAGAAATAAAAGTGATTACCCATTTATTTTGCATTGGTAAAAACTGCGATATTTTCAACAGATTTATAAAGGGTTATAAAGTGAATAGCGATATTTTCTTTTTCACTTATATACATCAACAGAAAAGATATTATGTCAAGAATTCTATTTCTGATGAAACTGAGTTCATAATCAGTTGGAATATATTACAAAAGTAAAACCACTGAACATGTTACGGATATATCACTTATTTATCATGCAACCATTAGTTTTAATTTAATAATCGCCAGGTTAAATTATACACAATACCTAGCCTGTCAGCTGTTTATATGGTTTTCTTGCAACTTTTTAGTTGAGAAATCTATCCTAGTTTTATGTTAAGTTTAATGAAAGCTTTATGTTATATGTATGGGTACCTACTCTCTATCGATTTTTCACTTAAGAACCGTGGTTAGTGCTTAGATTATTTAAATCTCGATTTGTGAGACCCACGTTCGAACCTTACAACAAATACTGTTAGGTTAGTCGTGTAATATAGTTAGCTTTCATAAAACATGTAATTCAAAAATTGGGTTGAACTTGTACTTAGCTACTGAGTTACGGTAATCCGGTGACGATTAATATTAACAGTTGTTTGACTGATGATACGAGTTCAGTAGTGTAGTGACCGAGTGCTTTTGTACTGAGTTAAGCCTCCGGTCGAAATACATTACGTAGTATGGTGTAAATGACAGCTTAATTTCTGCATAAAAATATGGTTGGTGTACTGAAAAAATATTACGTCATATACTCCTCTATATTTATTTTAGATAATTATTATTACAATTACCTTAATTCTTATGTCTGATTTATTCCAGCTGCAGTCAGTCAGTCATGCGTACCGTAGAACCTGGCACATATATGCATCGATTTAAGTTGCCGCACAACATTAGCTTCACGGGAAAATATTATCAAAACAAACCCAAGAATATTAGGATTAACAATATTATCAGTAGTAGTAAACAGGACTACGCGTGGAAAGAAGAAAAAAAGTATGAGATTTCGAGACTTAGAATCTAAAAGAAGATAGTGAATTTATGTATACTATTGTGGACAATTCCAAGCCATGTTGCCCATGATAATCATGGTGGACCTCAACTAGGTAGTTTGTATTCTAGTATTCCAGTTGCAAAGTCGAAATAAAACAAACAACTTGTAAATCATTTTAATTCGTAATTTAATTAAGCAATTATATGAAATGAAAGTCTTCACTTTATAAACCAGGTAAGAACTATACAAATTGAAAACGATTTCTAGTTGAATGCATTTCTTAGAATATAGTTTATACTACTATATAAGTACTAATGTTTTATTGATAGAAATGAAAAGTACAGGAAATTAAATAATATTCATTTTTTGTAATATTTTTCGTTCCCTCGAAATCAAATCGTTACCTTCTTCCATTTTTATTTTCTCAGAAAGAATAATCATATTGATCAGACACATATGGAATCACTAAACTATTTTAAGAATAATAATGAATGGGCAATTCAAAAACAGGATAGTATCGGGATAAAATATTACATATTATAGTCATTTGAGAAAAACCAGTTCAGTGTGTCAATTTAAAGATTAATTTAAGATAATGATTATCTATACAATAAAAACAAGGTAGGAAAATGGTTTAATACAGAATAAAAAGTAATTCAGAATGAAAAATCCCACGCATAATGTATAAAAGTTCCATAGTGGGTTAAAAACTAAACTTTTGGAATTCTCATTCGTATTATTACCATTATTAATCTTTAGATAGTTACGAAAAGGCAGTAAACTTATATCATTGTCATAGTTAATTTCATTAGGTAAACTACAAACCATTTTATCTTATACCAGGTTTGATAAAGTTATTTATTTTCAGTTTCAAAGAGTTAATTTTGCCCTTAGAACGTTATCATTAAATCATAAATGTTAATTAATGTATATTTCAGCTATACGTGAATACATTCTCATGTGTTTATACCTTGCTGTATGTTAAACGAGAGGAAATTGGATGGTTTTGTTAGAAAAATTAATGATTGAATTAATAATTCGATTTAAATCTGACCACCATTGAAAATCTGGAAGCATTGGATGGCTGTTTCATCCTAGTATGGAACTCATCAGTAGTGCGTACCCACGATCCTGAACGAGGGACTCGAATCCAGAGCCTTCAGTCGCGCGCGCAAACGCTTAACCTCTAGACTACTCAGCCAGCATCCAACGGTGTTAATATCTAATTTCAACCAATCCACGATATTGCTTGGCCGTCCACCATTGTCTTCAGTGAGTAACAGCCTCACAACAGACACAGTTGAACTCCAGTGGTCACGGCTTCTCACTAGAGCTCCAGGAAATTCATCTTGAAGCACGTCGCTAGTGAGCACGTGATGATTATCAGAATGGGAGTTTGTGAAGATTGTAGTAATTTTAATGGCTGTGGAGTTCCATGATAGGACGAAATGGCCGCCCAGTGCTCCTGCGTTTTCAGTGGTGGTCTAGCTTAAATTGACTCATCATTTCAACTATTAAAATTACTACAATCTTCACTAACCTCCATTCTGATAAATTAGGCATAGTCAGTTGTTAGTCAGAATTCAAATAAATAAACTTAAATTATAATCAAGGATAGGTCAAAATGTGAATGAATTAGATAATTATTGGGAGGCTACTAATTACAAATAGTTAAGTTGACTAATAAGCAATAACAGTACTATTTAGGTGAAATTAACTAGATTGAAATATCATCATTTTCATTTTATTTGTGTGTGGGCTGTGATACTGCCCGGGTGCCCAGATCGAAGCAAGTGGTCTTCTTAGGGGACCACACCCCGCGTATTTGACCTAAAGGTCTGACCCACAAAGTAGTAGAGCATCGTGAGGAGATGCAGTCCCATGGTAGCTGGTGACCAACAATTAGTTCATACGCCCTCAAGGTACTGGAGCCCATGTGCACCATTGGTTTGGGACCCGGTTAAAGCGCCCGGACAATCGCTTTTCATCCTCTCATTTTCGTAAACAATACCCCCGTCACGAGAAGGCAGTGAGTAGGACTTCCCTGGCCGTGGTCGTGTGAGAGCATTTCGAGAGGGAGGGTGGGCTCACCCAACTCTCGGCCATACCAGGACATTTGGGGTATAGTGAAGGCATACAACCACCTTTCTCCATTGTTCCATTCAGGCAGTGGGGTTAGACAGGGTTGCCTAATCTCACCATCCCTCTTCAACTTTGCCATCGATGACATTCTGGAACCAGCTCTGATGGATGTAAGTAATGGTGGTGTGGATCTGTTGCCTGGAGAAACACTTCTCGACCTTGAGTATGCGGACGATATTGTCTTACTGTGCGATAATGCCCAAGACATGCAATCCGCACTTAATCAGTTGGCAATCAGTGTCCGTAGGTACGGTATGAGCTTTGCACCTTCGAAGTGCAAAGTACTTCTACAAGACTGGCAGGATTCTAATCCCGTACTCACCCTCGATGGTTAGCAAATAGACGTAGTCGAAAAGTTCGTGTATCTGGGTAGCTGCATAAGTGCTGGTGGGGGTGTGAGTGATGAGATCAATGCACGTATAGTGAAAGCCAGAGCGGCTTATGCCAATCTGGGCCACCTTTGGCGCCTTCGTGATGTCAGTCTGGCCATAAAAGGTCGGATTCACAACGCGTCCGTGTGAGCAGCTCTGCTCTATGCTTGTGAAACCTGGTCTCTCCGAGTTGAGGATGTTAGACGACTCTCTATGTTTGATCATCGTTGTCTCCGAAGGATTGCTGACATCCAGTGGCAACATCATGTTAGTAATGCAGAGGTTCGGCATCGTGTGTTCGGGCGCAGAGACGATAATCCAATTGGTGTCGTCATCTTGAAACACCGACTTCGGTGGCTTGGACATGTTCTCCGAATGTCGTCCCAGAGAATTCCATGTAGTGCATTACTTGCCAACTCTGGGACTGGTTGGAAGAAGCGGAGAGGTGGTCAGTGTATGATATGGTGTCGTGGCATGAAAGAAAGCTACAAAGGGCTGGCTTCTGTTGGTCCTTCAGCACTCTCTAGCTGGGGTCTGAGAGATGGTGCAACACAGTGACTAGAGACGTTATCAGATATGGCTCATAATAGAAGCCAGTGGCGATCCTGCTGTAACCTTCTTTTACTTTCTTCATAAAAAAGTGGCTGTATCTTCTTTAACTGAAAGAGTTCTTCTGGTTGTACCTTTCCGTTTCCCTCATTATTATTATTATCATTACACTACCCTACACTAATCTGTCGTTATTATTCTTTTTTTCTTTTGTTCCTTATACGCACCTTACCTTCTTTTTTCTCTTCCCGTTCTCATTGTTTTGTGTGGCGCATATGTATTTGCTGCCCCCCTTGTACCAATATTTATATGTTCAAATAAATAAATAAAACTAGAGTGAAAAACGTGTAGATGTACGTGTTAGTGATATTGGAAAACACACAAATCCAAATTGTAGGTTGACTAGCAATGAAAATATCTTGTTAACTATGGAAGATTTGAAAACCATGATTCCACGATAATGTTGTCCTTGAAAAACTTTGAAGATTTGGCAGTGAACCGATAACAAAATTAGTTGGGAAGGTTCATTGAATAGGAATAGTGCAAACTTAGTAGTGTATCTAATTTTAGGCATTTCTCAATATAACATCAGATAATAATTTAAACGCTGAATTGAGATATCATTTAAAAATATTTTTAGAGAAACTATGAACTTAGTTAACAAAAACAGGCCTAAATACTCCGCTTTGAGCCAGTAATACTAGGAGAAATGCTCAAACTGAAGCCAGTTTCATATCTGCAACCTAATGGGTGATACCCGAGTACACTTTCATCATAACTCATAATAAATTAATAAATAAGTGAATATTACTGGACACTTACATTCTTGATCCGCCATTATTATCTGAACAATTATCATTGTTAGAGTTAAAGACATCCGAAAAGACAGGTTTGATTTGTATACCTAAATTTTCACCACGTTTAGTATTTATCAGACGAATTGTCACTACTGAGTCTTTACTATTTATTGATTCCTGAGATTTATTCACTGAAGGTGATTCAATGATATTCAAAGATATTTTTTCAGGTACTTCATTAATTGGTTGATGATCATCTGTATTGAAATCTGATTGATTTAATGATGCAGATGATGAAAGATGTGATAAACCAGATTTACTTATAACTTGACAATTATTACTCATAGTAGCATCACGAGTATTTTCAAGCCAACGAATTACATCCGGTTTAGGTAGACCACGAATAGAATGGTTATTTGTTATTAATGGATTATCATTTGAATGAAATTGAAGATTAGACAAGTGTAATTCATTTGAACTAGGATTACATTTATCATTATTAATTGTATTCACATGTAGTACACCGCATTTTTGGACAGATGTTTGATCTTTTCTGTAAATTATCAAATTATGGGGTGGAAAGAATAAAAAAAACTAAGAAATAAACTAGAATTTAAATTTACAAACATTTAGATTTGGTTATGTCTATTTCAATAATAATAATAATAATAATAATAATAATAATAATAATAAATACCTCGTGATTAACCGAATTCAAGAGAGTAGACGATATAGGGTTTCAAAAAACAGAGACGTGATTAAAATAAGTGAATCGAGAGGAGAATGAGAACGTCATTCCTATCTAAGATTGTCAAACTAAATCACAATGAAATGAAGTAGGAAAATACTGATGATAAGCACACACACACACACACACATACACTAGTACTAAAACATTAGAGACAGAGATGAGTAGACAAAAACAGAAACAATAACAATAGAAATGTACTTGTTTATCGATTCAAGCTGCAACATTTGAATTTAGCACGAAGAAAAGTGAAAGCATAATGAAATTTCAAGAAACAAATCAGTAACTGTCATCATGATGTGGAGTACTGAATATTATTTCAATGTAGTGGTCACTATTTGGAAAGTTTGATAATCAAAATACTTAGTTTATTGACGAAACAATCTATCAGACTTTTATACATATACAATTTGGTTAGAAACTAACTTGAAAACTACTGTAGTCAGTTACAGACAGCGTAGGACTTAAAATAAATGCATATCAGTCTACGATGGAATACTTCATAGTGGAAATAGTGTTGTGAAATTAGTAAGGAGTAAAGAAATGGAAGAAAAACATTAGTTGGAATGAGAAGTTAAACGTGGGGGACATTTTAAAGTAGAACGAAACCAAAGAATTAAAATAGAGGAATGATACTGTAGTTGGGGTCTAGAGGATGGTTGAGGATGAATATCACCACGCCACTGTGGTTGATTCTTGGTCATGTTACATGTTAGTGAAGTAATATGTGTCGTTGTCATTATGGTTACTGTAAGTCATGGAATTCAGATACACATCTCCAATTAGTAGGTAAAAACATTACAACAAATAAAGCACAGTGAACACCACCTTACTACTGTGATAATCTAAATCGTCATGAATGTTCCTGAATTATTGATTGCATATCCTCTAACTACGAACTAATTGATTGAGATTAGCCGTAGGATACTAGACAAAGACGGGAGGTCAGTTGGTAGAACTCTTCAGAGGTAAGTAGAACAAATGTTGCGCATGTTCAGCTACCATTTACTCTGACAAGAAATGTTTGGCATAATGGGCAGGGATGAAAGCAAGATTTGGTATCACTTGATTAAATTATTGATTGTTGGTGTGAAACACCTGGCTAAGAAACGTTTCTTTTTTTTACGAGTCGGTAACAAGGTACAGGTTCAGAACTCAGTTTGGGGTCAAATATTTTGTGTGATGGCTAGTAACGTTACGTGTACATCCCGACCGAAGTAGAACTTGATTTCACAACTCATTGGTTAACAAAGTGTGTCTGAAACGCAATCTTGCAGTTGGAAACCTAGAGGCTGAACAGTTTTTGTATTATTTATAGCTTTAATATTAGGTAGCATATATTTAAAACTCTGATGAAATATGGATCCGCTGAGATTACAGGTATGCTCCGTTGATGAATGTTGGAGAGAGCGAAACCTAAGCCCAAAGATTTCAAATGTTATTTTCAATAACCTGACATGGAAGAAAAACTACAAACAGTATTGGAACTCACTCCAAAACATAATCTTTACGTAGAAGTGGATAATCTTCTTCATTTGCTTCATTAATATCAATATTATTATTAAGTAGAGGATTAGTTCTAGACTTTAACATGTCGATAAATTGGTGTTCTGTTTCATATTCCGGCAAATTCGGAAGTTGTCTTTCAGAATCTACCGAATATTCTTCTTCTTCTTCAACTATAGTTGGAACAGTTAAATTGCTTTGAAATGCTGTTCCTAAACGTGTTGTTGTTCGGGAATAGGAGAGACCGCCAATAGGACGACTTGTTATAACAAGAGATTTTGTTGAGTTGACATTACATGTGTGTGAGTATTCTACAAAAAGGAAAAGGATTTTCACAAGAATTAGGATGACTTAAAAAACCCTTATCGATAAATGAATTATGCTTGTCAGGAAGTAATTAGATAGTAAGGAGCATAAGTTAAAATAGGAGACTACTCAAAACAACGTATACAGTGGGAGTAACATGCAAACTTATGATTAATTATGACAAGGAATAGCCATAATTAGTGAATTTAATTATCATACAAGTTGAGATTATGGATTATGAGGAGACTGGTTATAACGACTGCACAACAAAAACCATCTAGCTTTTTGGTTTATTAAGAGAAAAGGAAAATTGTTCAAATTGTATCACGCTGTCTATTCCGATTTTCTTGTCGAAATGATGTAGAATTACCCATTTTTTTCTTTGTTCGATATCTTTTTCATACTTGTCCGTTTAATAACAAACTATTTTTATTGAGTTTTCCCTCGGTATAACTGAAAAGTTTGCTAAACTGAGGCAGTGTATATGTTATGGATCAGCATTTAGACTACACAAGGAAAACGTAATTTACAAATTTATATTATACTGTGCTGCCTGTTAAAAATACTAACTTGTCATGAAGTTTTGGTTTTATGATTAAGTATAAAATCAATACTAAATAAATAGTGATCCGCTTGACAATATCAATATTTTCTCCAAAGATAGTAGTCCGTAACTTGACCGATACGAAATTAAAACTAAAATACAAAATTACAAAATATGCGAATTACTGCAACACTAGTTACGTAAAGATAAAGTGGAAGGAATTGAGTAAGCTTGAAATTAAGCAATTGAATATGAATGTTTAGTGTTATTTGTAAGCATAAAAAATAATTAGCTAGTAAAACGGATGGCATAAAAACTACACAGCCAGATTATGAGAACGGATTAAGTAAGAATAGGATTAGAAATTAAAATTAGACAAAATTGAAAAAATTTCGAGAAAAGTAAGAATAATTAAGTAGAAGTAGGTATCGTTACCAACGTATGATTTGGGATATTAAAAAATATATTATTTATTTATAATTAATTAGAAGGTCAGAGTAAATTGTGTGGTTGCACAAACGTTTCTTGTATACAAAGATTAGATTTATTTGTGTATTTCTATAGCTTCTGTGCGTAAAAATACGATTTAAGGAATCACGGGGCGAGCGCAATGGAATTCTATAACTTTGAAAACCAGTTTTGTTTCGATTTGGTGTCTAGTATGCCCGATATATACGACCAATAAATCATCATAGTAAAAATGAAAGAAAAGCTAAATTAGAGTGTTCACCTAGGGAATGAAAAAACACCGCAGTCATGGCATATCCTAAAGAAACTTCAGAAAGGATAAGAAAGATTCTAAATATGCATGATAAAAAGTTTATATCCAAGGTAGTGATGCTATAGATATTACTGAAAGTGAAGTATAGGATATCAAAAGAGTGAAAACAAGACTATCTATGAAGTAAGTCACCATATGAGTAGGGTGGTGGGAGCTAAATGCCATGGCAAAGAAAAACTTAGAAATATGTTCCTAAATTCTCAGAAGAACTTAAGAAGCTCGAAAATAGATTAGCAATAGCACTATACTGATTAGAAATGGGATATAAGACTAACTTTGAAGGAAAGTTTTTGGAGCTCATGAGGAAAGATTAGCAGCTGAGGTTTTTTGCTGACAGGAGACAGAATACGGTCGGCTACTGCATAGTCATTGTTGGTTAACAGATAAATACATGGCATTTCATATCTAATCAGCTGTCGATACCGCTCGCAGCTTGACCCCAACAAAGATGAACGCTTATTGAATCATAATGTTTGGGGTTATCTGTGGATGCCTTTTATTTAACGTCTCCATTAACTATACGACTATTTGAAATCTACACAAACTTCGACTGGGTTATCTTACTGATATGTACTACTTATTTTGTAAGAAGAAAACGGTTAAGTAATACTTCGTCGTAGTCACATTGTAAACGATTTTCACATCGAATATTTCATGACCTTACTATAGTATACAATATAAACATCTGAACCATGTTTTATTTAACTTGTTAAAAAAATGGTTGTTTTGTAGTGAGATTCTTATTCACAGGTACAACAAAAAGTTACTTGCGTCAAGGGGGAACTTGACATTTGAAACTATTTTCAAGAGAATTGTGAGAATTTAGGCGATAAATCTGCTTGTGAATTGAACTATCTCATTTGAACACTTCGTCTTATTAATTAAAAATAAGGCATGAGTAATGTTGCATATCTACGGTTGTATAACTCCAGGCTTTTAAGTACATACATATAATCCTGAATCAAAATTTATACACTTATAACCATACAATTTTTAAATACTTACGAGACTGTACATGGTCCGGTCTCGACTGATGTAATGAATTACTAACCATATTATTTTCTGCTATATGAGTATTCGATAAATGTTGCATATTTTGTTGTCGAATAGAATCGTCATACTGTGTGACCAAATTAGGCTTAAAAAGTAAAATGAAACATAGACCATTAAACGATAAAGATTATAGATGTTTGAGAATTGTCTTTTGGCGTAAAACAACTGAAAAAAAGCAGATAACGATACCTTAATCTACCTTTTACGATTGCTGTCATTCGATCACTTTTATGTATGAATCAAGGAGCAATGTGATCCCAAATGACTAAGTTTCTGTCAAAATAAAACGAAAGAACTTAAGGAATCATATCAATTCAGGAAAATGAACAAAAACTAGAACAGTAGACGATCGAAACAGCGGTTTTTGATTCAAGTGATTATATGAATAAAGCAAAACTGAAATTCCCATGTCCAATCTTGTTATTAATGATGATACAAATGTTCCTCAGTCCTAAATTAAGACTGAACAATCCTTGAGTGCATCCAGGTAATCGACAATACTTTGAAGTTTGAACTAGTGTGAGAACAACTTTTAGTTAGCGATCATATATATACAGAAAAATAAATAAAAATGTAATGTTGTCGACATTTTCCTAATAAACGTTCTATGTTGATACAATCGATTGTCTTAATTATGAGGGTATTTAAATTTCAAACTCCTTGTTAATAAAGGGTACAAAAGAATAGAATATATCATAATTGATCAAACTAGTATGTTGATAAATGCCCTGTATTAATAAAAATGCTACTCAAATAAGATTAGTGCAATCGCACATGAACTTGGAAAATTGAGTAATTGGAATGATAGAATGTTTTGTTTGACAAAACTCAGGTGGGTGGCTTATAGAAGTTAGTTACCTAACCTCAATTACTCGGATTTATAATTTGGTTTGCTTAGTTCATTCATTTCACACTACCATTTTCAGTTTGTGTTGTCTTATAGTATAATTCTGATAGTGTTTGTGAAATGTTTAGATCTCTCTACTTATTTGAATAAAAGAGGTGAAATTCATAAAATACACTCTCCTATTTTAAAAAGTTAGGATCATTAGAAAGAAGATAGAAAACTCACCTGAGAATAACTGAGGGGATTTCGGAGTTCTGACTGACTGACTAATGAATTAGACACTATGTCTGAAGTTGTGCAAAATCGGTCGGAACCATTCGAACTTGAAAATGAATTATGACTTTGAACTGCACGTATCAGTCGTTCAGTATTTATACCTATATGATATTCGTCTTCTGGAGAATGTATTCTACATGGGAGATTAGTAGGAATATTAACATGTGGAACATCGGAAGCAGTAAAAGGTGGAGGTGGGAGAGGCCAAATATCTGCAGTTGATAAAACAGGGTGATTACTTGGTCTATCACAAGTTCCGCTTGGTGTAAGAGTCACCGAAAAGTTATCGTTAGTATTTTCATGGTGACTATTACTTTCTGTGACATCTAAACAACAGTGGTTTCCTCCAGGTAAAGAATTAGGTAATATATCTGAATTATTGTTTATGGTATCTGAGTGAAGGATAGTATTACCATTGGGTAATGACACAAATTCATTCTGCTGTTCACCTACTTGGCAATCGTATGAATAGCCTCCATCAGGATCAAATGCATCTTCATCTTCATCATCAGAATCCCAACCAGACTCAATAAGATCACGACGGCGAGATAAGACATTTGAGAGCTTAAAATTAAAGAGATTTAAATATATGAAACAGATATTTCAAAAAGCATATGATTTGATAACTAATTTAAGCGTTGGGTTGAAGTTAATAAAAAATAAGGGATATTGTCTGAGATAACTATGATGTGTGGCTAAACTTACTAATTCACTAATAAACTCGGTGTGATATTTATTAAAAACACGACATGGGAAAATTTAGCTAAGCCGTGACAAACAAATATATGAAGTTAGTAGACACCAGTTTAAGTTTTATGACAAATTACGGGTTTTCTGACCAGAATTTATGAGATATTGGAAACTTGTGATTAGAAGTAGAACCTGGAACACATGTGCATCCGTCCAAGTCCCCACACCAAGTCAGCACGGTGCTTTTAGAGAGTCATTTCATCATCTGGCTATCCCGGGTTTGACCAAACAGATCTACTTGTTAACTGAGGATACGCAAATGATATAGTTCTTTTTGGTGAAGACAATGATAAAATGCAGTCTTCTGACCACCTTAAGCAACAATGCAAGCATGTTCAGGATACGGTTCTCTCCCTCCAAATCCAAAATGATGCTTAGGGATTAGCTTGTGTCACCACCTAAATTAACCATAGGCGGTAAAGTAGTTGGACGCATCGACCACTTCACTTACCTCGGCAGTCTCATCAGTCCTGATGGTCTGGTGTCTGATGAGATTTCGGTACGGGTTCAGAAGGATCGATTGGCTTTTGCCATCTTGCGTCACTTGTGGCGTAGGCGGGATATCTGTTTGTCAACACAATGACGAGTTTACCGAGCAACATTTCTCTGTTCTACTTTAAAGGTGTGAAACATGGCTATTAAAAATAGAGGATATTCGCAGGTTACTTGCATGCAATCACGGGTATCTTCAAGGCATTGCTCGTATATTGTGAGACCAATGAGTTAACAATTGCGAGGTTAGATACAGAGTAATAGGTACGTGTGGCAAATGAACTGACGAGGTAGCGAATCTTTATCGACTGAGATGCTTATCTGTAGATTACCTCGATAGGCGATGATGACTGATATGGGAGTAGGTTGGAGGAAAGCTATGAGTGTTCAAACTAAGACATGGCACCAGTCCATGAAGATACTGACTGTTGAACTGAACTATGTAGGTAGGTACATGCCACCTGATTTGGGTTCATGTCATCAATATAACCAATGGTTGGATGCCTTGAGTGATATGACAGAGAATCATTTACAATGGCATAGATATACTCACTCTTTGTCTTCCCTTAATCCTAAGTTTGTTAATTGGTTGTAAATCTTTTTTTTTATCTTCGATGTTTGATCTTTGTTATTACTATTAATATTATTATTACCTCTGCTACTCTGGGATTTGGTCTAGCAATTTCATCTCTCGGTGCTAATAGGATGAGTCAACTTGAATCCACGTACAAACGTAGGAGGTTCGATGTTTTGACTGACTGATCGACTGAATTAGTACAATGAAGTGAATTTCCAAAACAAATTTCATAGCACGATTAGTAAAAGTATCAGTAGCATCGATACGACTTATGAATAGAAAATGAGTTTGTGAACACTATAGATCACAGATAGATCTATTTCATATTTATAACTATTAAATGGTAAAATGCTAGATTTAATTGAGAATCAACAACTTAAACTGTTCAAGATACTAGAACGTTCAGTAAACGAACAACAAACAGGACACTAATATTTTTTCCGAGAACAATTGAAGTTTGAGGTGAAATACGGTACATAACATGGCTTCATGAATGTTTAACTGTTTAAAATTTGCCTACGATTCGTTTCGTCATATACGTATATCCTACCTTTCTAAAGATCTTTCCTATAAGTCTTGATAGTTCTTTACATCTCTTGTTGAGATATTTTGAAGTGTGGACTCTTCAATGAATTCAACAGTGTAAAATTCCACTAAACCAGTAAACGTATCCATAAAAATAAATCTGAACGACTCATTATATAAATGTATATATATAAAGAACTAACCATTTCAAAGACATTCGGTGAAAGTGTTCTTTGACAATGCTTTGAAATTGCTGTATCATTTATGGTGATACTATTCGGACAGGATTTATTGCACGAAACCGGAGAACTTTTCAGTCGTTCACAAGTACTTGATATTGTATTGAAGCAAGTAGGTGGTGACTGAGAAGCTGAGGAGGTTGTAAAACATTTCTCTTTATTGCCAGAAGAGGATACTTCTGAAACACAATTCACTTTAATGTTGGGATCTGTTGCAAGGAAAAAAATAATTACAAACGAAGGCCTGGTAACTCACAAATGAGGAATAGCGTGACTCAATAGAGTCGGACAGCTGAGACAATGTAGGATATTGCACAAATGTGAACACGGTCGTCGTGAGGACACAGACGAGGCAGTCTGTATCAGTCAGTCATATGCAGCGTATGACTAAGAACATATATTCACCAGTTCAAGTTGCCATACCACACTAGCGCAGAGATAAGAAATTATCAAAACAAATCCCAGAGTAGCAGAGATGGTATCAACATAAATATCAGTAGAAGAGATTAGGTGTAGACAATAGTAACTGAGAGAAAAGGGCGAGATCTTGGGATAAAAAGTACAAGTTGATCGTGAGACTTAGGACCTCAGCGGAGACAAAGAGTGTACAACAAGGTTCAGCCAAAAAGTCAGCGACTTTATGGACTAAATCCATGTCATCGTTCGGCTGCTTTTAGCTTTTCCCAAAGTCACTCTTACTCCATTTACAACAAAAGATAATTAATCTCCATATGTACAAACGACGGCTGAGATACAAATTTGAGTTACAGGTTTATAATTAATTAGCTATGACTTACGACATGGCTCAAAACAGGGAGCGATGAAAGTAGATGCATTCGTAGTTTGTCTTCCATTATAACTTTATAAATAAGGGCACCTAGTTAGAGTATATCCAACAGTGTTTCAAAATTTGGGGTAAAGCGGTATTTTAACAACCAATCAATCGGTCTACCTACTATCTTGAGTAGGGTGGTGGTTTAGTGCTTAAAATACTTGACTTTCATACGTTGGGCTACAAGTTTGAATGCCCACCGACCCACTTCAGTTTATATTGCTAGATATTATACCGATACTAGCTTGAAGCCAAGTACGTAAACCAGATCTTTGTCACACAGTTGCATTTAATCCATGGACTGGGTTTTAGTCTCTTAAATGTAAAACGTAAACCGGTTGTTTTATGAATGACCTAACAGTGTAATTATCCGTACAATATACTATCAACGATGATCAGAGACATGGAGCTTACATTTTACTTTTAGACCTTAGCAGTAACTGTGGTTAAAATGCTTGGATTTCAAGTGTTAGATCACAGGTCTTGATTCTACAATACTTGACTCGGTTTGTGCAGCTCCGTAGTATACCTGTTCCCCAAGGAGTGTAGTTCGATGTTGAATATAGACATGTACTTGGTACATAAGTAACGGTCTTTAGTTAACATATCAGACAGCTATAAATTCCACACGTAAAGTCCACTATTATTTTTATGTGAAAACAAAAGGATATAAACGACCAAAACATCTATCGAAAACTCACGCAGCGCTGCATTAGAATCATGGGAAGACTCATTCAGAAGCCATTCGTGGATATCACCAGGGAACTGAGATGTATGCGCTCCATTTGGTTGATGCAATCCACAGCTATCATTACTTAGATTTAAACTTAAGTTACTACTGCTTGTACTTCCATCTCCGATACGCAGAAGCCTGTCTGCGATATGACCATTGATGTCAGTTTGTCTTAATCCAATTCCACAAGGAGGTGCGAGATTCAATCCACTATCTCTAAATTCACTAGCCCCGCTAGACTGGATGGGACTATGAAATGAAGGCTCGATAGCACTATCAGAACATAAATCGACAACTAAGGGTGTGGAAAGCGATTGAAATATAGAATCAAGGGCAGTTGAGGGTCGATTTGGACAAGAATCCTTGATATTGTTTGATAAGGTGGCGACCGAAAAGTGAGCAGTAACCTACCAAAAGACGAAAAGCCAACAACTTTGAAAATTACCACATGTCGTGCAATGTTATTTGAATTTAAAATCGATACAATATGAATACAAGATTGATTATATGAGGCTATGAAAGCATAAAAGCTGGAAAGGATGACGGAATAGGTAGAAGAGAAAACAAACCATATTATGTTATTTAAGATTGCTTACAGCTCTTTTATCGAGTGAGTACCGGATAAAATTGTAAAACATTTACCACTGAGTTTAGATTTCAAGCATATATTGTATTCCCTTAAGCTATACGTCAAACAATTTCTTATACTCTATACGAATAGTTGGTAGGAACTACCAAACTGAAACTTAACAAAGAATGACAATAACTTTCGTTTATTCAAACGGTTTCTGCAATACTAATCAACGGGATATGAATTTTCAGGCGGCGAAAAAGTATAACAAGGACTATTCCACTCGAAACAACTAGATAATAAATTATATATAAATTATATATATAAATAAAACGTGTTTTAAAAGATTTTTACGCATTTTCACAGAACTCAGAGGAACTTATGATGGCAACTAAATAATAAAAGCCACAAAAAAGTTTATGACGAGGATGAAAGTGGGAAACGTACCATTTCACGATCGTCTACCACATCGCAGACCAAATCATCCCAATCAAGCATACCACCATCTCTAGCAACATTGATGCTGTGGACGACAATGCGATCCTGTGGTCCGAGCTACAAAATCATTGATAAATGGTGATAAGTCATCATAATAGATAGATTGCGTATCTCGAAACATTTAAGTATTAATGAATCATTGTAATGATAAAACGTTCATGTAGGAAACCAGAAAACAAACCTTCGGTAAAGTATGCCTAACCCTCCTTAAACCACTGAGAGTCAAGTCTCTAACCGTTAAGTTCCCTGAACCACAAGGAACTACGACCTTTGTGTCTCCAAAGCAGACCGTCAGCTTCATGTTCCATTTCTGGCAGTGATGACCTTCAAGAGACAGCTGTGGGAATTACTCCCAGTGACCTTCGTCAGATTTACCCATGTTAAACAATCAGATTTGTTTCACAAAATATCTATTACATACTAATGCTTCGAGAGTGTAATGTTTATGGTATATCTTCTACAGGCACTGCCGTCTCTTGGTAGGCACGGTGTCAATATATTGTAGTGACCTACTTTTATCAAGAGAACGCGATCGGTTTAATGGAAACAATCATTATTATAACCAATTGTACTTGTTTGTTTAACTGTACTAAAAACATCCATCATTCTTCCATTATCGTTCCTTGGATTGTGACCTTGTACACTCCTACGTTCGCCCACTGATTCCACTTGTATTTCTTTGGTACGATCTCTGTATTCCCTCGATTTCACGAGATCTCCAACGAATGTATCTCGTTACAACCTGCAACCGCCTTCTGATTTCTGGTACGCAACCTCCTTGTAGTGGTGTTCATAGTCAAACGTGACTCGACGCCACACTACAATATGTTGTCACCAAATAGCACAGCTGCCCAGAATAAGTCTTATGACGGTAGACCTGATAGGATTCCTTCATCATTTGTGAAATATGGTAACAGAGGATTACCATTATTTTGTTTAAACTTTTCAACCTATCTATTGCATATGGGACCTATCCATCTGTATGGAAAACATCTCTTATCACCACTAGGTTCGAATTGGGATCACGTAGTGATATGGTTAACTATAGGCCCATTAATTTGACATCCGTGCTATCAAGAACCATGGAAAAAATCATCCACAAATGGCTGCTATCATTTTTACTTTCGGCTAGTCTGATTAGCTCATCCCAACACAGGTTTATGACTAAACGTTTATGATTCACATCGCACCTGGAATTTTTTCATCAAATTACCCGGAGAGATGTTGGTCAGTCAATGATAATTCTGTACTTCAATTTTAGTAAGGCTTTCGGCAGTGTCTTACACAAACTTCCTCTAAAACTCTCTTCATTTGGCATACAGAATCCACTTTTGTCTTGGCTCAAATCTTTTTTAGAAGAACGTGGCCAAATCGTCCTGTAGGGCTAGTGAGATTTCACCAAGCCCTAGCCAAGTAGTCCAGCAGTGGGGTCACTGAATATCGAACCGATCACTGATCCCTGTCAAGGTCAAGGCTGACCAACGCGAATCAGTTAATCATACGCCGTGGACTTGTAGTGGCATTGGACCATAACCACACAATCTTCAAAGCTGAACACAAGACTACTCAGAAAATAGATATTCAATATTTAACGCGGAGAAATACCTAACAATGGAGAAGGAGCGAACAATGAATTGAATGGACTGGAGTTGATCGAGTGGCATGGCTCGGCCATGCAGGCGTGGTCTATGCCTATGTCTATGTCTATTCATATTAAATATATTGTTCTTTCTCTAGCCTAACCTTGTTCTACATCATGTATTGGTAATTGATACGATACAGTGAGTTGGCGTAGTCGATGGTGTGACTTCCACGTAAGATCTTATAGATTAGGCAGTTATATCATGACGAATCTACAAATTTAGGATTAGATCTATTATTAGAGCAGTACATATATCATAGTAGACCATAGTTCTACATTGGTGAGCCCAACTAAAGAAACGCAACCTATTATAATAGGATTAACAATATATTGTTAATCCTTATTTCCACTTAAACTTTCTCGATCGATTTTATATATATGTTAACCCAGTATTCTAATAGTCCTCTGATTAATGCTCACATGCATTGTCGTGATGTTATATTGATTACTTCTCATAACATACTAGGTCAATCGATATTAAAAACTGGTCGTCTAAATTAACTAATTAGCTTTGATGGTTCGTTAACAAGCTTTAATAGCATTTACATGCTTCAGCGACATAGTCTTGTTTAAACATCAAGCTCTAGCAAATACGACATGCAAACAACGTAAATATACATTGACTAACAACGTAAGCAAGGACTAAATAGTTATCTGGATCTAATTCTTAATGCTCCTTCACTTAACACCTCATCCTGTTTTAAAATATACACTATCATGTAATATATTTTCTTCCGACCACTGCCTGCTTAATTTCATATTATTCGAGTTCCATTGCCAAACAACAAGGATGACACTTCTTTAAAAACATACGGTGAGTTTTAGTCATAAGTTTTCTGCAATCATAAGGTCATTTTAGATGGCTCGTTCAATGGTGAACGCACAATTATCTGGATTCATTCTGTTGTTCTGATCCGAGCGAGTGGCAAAAACGTCAACAGAATCAAGCACCCTGGAATTAATTGCCATACTGCATGTTTTATTCTGGATACTTTTGGATCATTACTACTCACGAATGGCGTTATATATGTCGTCCACTGAATAATCTAATTTTCAGAAATAACCCAGGCGAGTTCAACTATTTTACTTAATGATTTTTTTTACTTAACATGTGTATGTTTTCCGGTTCCTTTTGCTATATATTTGTAAGTGTCCCTAGGTTAAATGCAGTAACTTCTTATGGAATGTTTATAACGCGTCATATTCCTGCCTGAAGTTTCACAAGCAGCCTTAACTTGGAATTTATTTATCTGGTCATGTTCATTATTTTTAAATTGTCATATACGTCAACAACCTGCATGTTAACCTGGCCCGCACATACGTTTTACTATATCTTCAAGTTTTCTAAATTTAGGAATCATCTGAATCGCCTTTAACATTTATAAATAAACCCATCATAGTCGTTGTTGCTAATCGTATTTGGGTTTATGGATTGATTTATCATATTAGCAGCCTAAAATGCGAACATAGTTTAGATAATTCGATTACAAATTTAGGTACTATCAACTGCACTAGTAAAATAACTAAATTCCTAGGTAGCTGTTGGCTAAACAAACGTTTAAAATCAAAACTCCGTAGCCTACTAGAATTAACACTAAACGAATCTTTCTGAATTAAAATTTATAATTAAATTAGGCGTCTCGGATTCTTTAACGCTACAAATTTCTGATAATTTCGAATCACCTAAAGCAACAATACGTATTTTTCCATTGACTAATCCTCATTCAACACTATAACTAGTTAAACATAATAGTTTCAGGATATCGTCATAAAGCATTGTCATGACTTGACGATCACGTAATATGATTGATAAAATTAATGAAACTATTAACAAAATCGGTCAGCAAATTGACTTATAATTATCACTAGTGTTGTTTTTCTTTTATCTTCATTCACTACAGATGATTACAGTATGTTTCTCTATCAGATGCTCACTCAGTAAATATCTCGAAACCTTGTCAGTCTAATTGATGGTTTAGCGACACAATCATGCATGCAAATAATCAGTATAAGCAGTCGAGCAAATCTCCTGCAAACTGAAAACATCAATGTCGAATTTACCCCAATACTGACTAAGGTTCAAGCCATTATCATAGACATGAGTTGGGAGTGTACTCCCCCTGGTTACAACTTATGTTCTCCCTGATAATCACATGAGCATCACTCACTATTAATCATCTTGAAAAACTTAGCTAAATACATCTTGCAGCACCACATCACTTCGTAATATGACACAGGCCTAACTGATTTTAATAACTTATACCACTATATCTCAATTAAATCGTATTCCGCCTTATGATAAACTGCATACTTGCAACTAACTTGTATGCCCGATCAGCCGGCAAGTATAAATATAAATAAATAGTCTGCCACAGATCAGAACATTGAGTCTAGAGCATGTCTCTTACGAATACACTCATGTTTAACGATTTGTTTCTAGCTATCTGTCCAAAATTCATATAATCATCACTCACATATTTAAATTTTGTTTTGATAAACATTCATGTGTATTATTAGTATTACTAAATTCTATCACGGTCAAGTAAAATGAGGTTGAGAAAATCCCCCCGTAACTAAATAGACCGTATCAAACTAACTGGAACACTAGTTGGAATTCTTCTCCACGTTAATACTTTTGTTCTTTCAGTTAGCCTACTAATACAGATGCAATTGGAAATCACATATGGACAGGTTACCGGCATAATTGTTAATTGGTTTCATAAGTTAAACCAAAACTAATACCAATATTAATATTTCTAAAAATATCAATTATTTTAATATTTCTAAACACAAAATAATTACTACCTATAAGTTAAGTTATTAACACGCATCGTTTTATTATTATTATTATTGTAACCCCATTTTTATAGCTCAAATAATCTTCACCCAAATTTTCATTTCAAGCGTTTTAAAAATGAAGGCAGATATTTTAAAATTATTACATATATTTCCCGACCAGGTGCTGCCGCCTTCTTTTTGATTTATCTTTCAGCTTACCAATACCCGAAGGATTCTTATTATCCTTGGTAACCTCCGGCGCGCTACGATCCCATCCAATTTGGTATCGAACCAACATCACGTTGATTCTGGTGGGAGAGTAGTGTGGTGGCATTGGACCATAACCACACAATCTTCAAAGCTGAACACAAGACTACTCAGAAAATAGATATTCAATATTTAACGCGGAGAAATACCTAACAATGGAGAAGGAGCGAACAATGAATTGAATGGACTGGAGTTGATCGAGTGGCATGGCTCGGCCATGCAGGCGTGGTCTATGCCTATGTCTATGTCTATTCATATTAAATATATTGTTCTTTCTCTAGCCTAACCTTGTTCTACATCATGTATTGGTAATTGATACGATACAGTGAGTTGGCGTAGTCGATGGTGTGACTTCCACGTAAGATCTTATAGATTAGGCAGTTATATCATGACGAATCTACAAATTTAGGATTAGGTCTATTATTAGAGCAGTACATATATCATAGTAGACCATAGTTCTACAGACTGTCCCATACGATGGTGGTCTTACTTTTCCTTGTATCTACTTTAGCTCATATATTTCTGTAATGGCGTCCTTTGTGTTGTACAACCTTTAAAGCATTTATAGTACCTCGATACGTCAATGTGGTTGTCCACGTAAGGTGCTGACCACGAGGTGTGATTTCGACGTTTGAACTTTCCCGAGCACATTGC